GAGCGAAAACGCCGCGAAGGCTTGGCCAAACGAAGTGAAGGGTGGTGCGGCGGCACAGGCGCCTGATGCGACTGTGAAGACGGAGAGCGGACACGGCGCCAAGGGCAAGGTCAAGTTCATCTCCGGAAACACAGGCGTCAAGGTTGACTTCGGCCCGATCCTGAAGAATGACTACACCATCTGCTCGGTTGCTCGCTATACCGGAGGCAGCAAAGGTCGCATTCTCGACTGCAACAATAAGAATTGGCTGCACGGGCATTGGGCCAGCCAAGTGGGAGTCGCACACTACCAGCACTGGAACACCAACAGCCGTCGCAATGGTGGGAACGAAGACTGGTTGGTGATATGCGGCAGTGACAACCGCGAGGTCTACTTGGGTAGCGATCCCGACAAGAACATCGCCACCAACACTGGCAAAGCATTCGGTGGAGGAGAGCATAGGCTTGTCACCAACCGCCGGGAGAAATCGGACTTTGCCATCATGGAGGTCATGGTTTGGGATCAGAAGCTGACCCACAAAAAAATGAAGGCTGCGCTGAAGTACCTGAACGAAAAGCTCGAGAACGGTATTGCCTGAGCCCCAGATCACTCTTTGTAGCCTGGAGCACAACCTCGTGGCAATCTAGACAAGCAGTAGTCACCATGTGAGCATCCTTCATTATTCATTAGGAAGGGACCATGAAGGTTCGACGCAGGAGTCCGTCGGTAGCTTAGTACAATCCAAGATATGCTCCCTGATAGCAATCCATCATTTATTCGAGAAAGTTTCGCGGTAGCCATTTCTCATGGTGGAAAGTCTGCACCCGGAGGGTCTTGTGCGGTGGGGTTGGGAGTGTTCCGTGGGTTTTGGGGATGTAGGTAACACGACATTCGCACTGGCCCCAAGCGGCGTGAAATTTATATTCAATGATCATTACGAGAGCCCCCTGAAAGCTCAAAAGCGAGATCCAAGAGGATCCCACAGCATCTCAAAACCATCGCAAAACTGGTTTCCAAAAGCGCGACAATCCTACACTGTTTGAGGAGTATGCGCTCGTGACCGGGTGAAATGGTGGTGTCAGACCAAAAATGTGAAGATGCCCCCACGACGGATCGACCCCCAAATCCGGAAGCGTCCACACGTGCGGCAGGCGTGATTTCAAGCCATATTTTCAAGCACGCTCCACGCGAGTGCGTGCCTGAGCTCGTGCCCTACTCCCAATGTGACGCCTAGCACATCGCTCGGTAAAAAAAAACGGTACTAGAAGCAGTAAGTGCCAAAAGTAGCCATGACGACCTCAAGAGAGCGTGACATGGCTTAGGACCAGTCGGGCCAGCTTGACTATGGCATGGTCGCCTGGTTCAAGAGTGAGAACGCTGCGAAGGCTTGGCCCAACGAAGTAAAGGGCGGTGAAGCGGCACAGGCACCTGATGCGACTGTGAAGACGGAGAGCGGACACGGCGCCAAGGGCAAGGTCAAGTTCATCTCCGGCAACACAGGCGTCAAGGTTGACTTCGGCCCGATCCTGAAGAATGACTACACCATCTGCTCGGTTGCCCGCTATACCGGAGGCAGCAAAGGTCGCATTCTCGACTGCAACAACAAGAATTGGCTGCACGGGCATTGGGCCAGCCAAGTGGGAGTCGCACACTACCAGCACTGGAACACCAACAGCCATCGCAATGGTGGGAACGAAGACTGGTTGGTGATATGCGGCAGTGACAACCGCCAGGTCTACCTGGGCAGCAATCCGGACAAGAACATCGCCACCAATAATGGCAGAGCATTCGGTGGAGGGGAACATAGGCTTGTCACCAACCACCGGGAGAAATCGGACTTTGCAATCATGGAGGTCATGGTCTGGGATCGGAAGCTACCTCATGCGCTGATGAAGGAAGCCATGAAGTACTTGAACGACAAGCTCGAGAACGGTATTGCCAGAGCCCCAGGCAATAATTTGCTAGCTTGGAGCGTCGTGGTCGTGGCAGTTCAAGCAGTAGTGCATGAGAGCAAGTCCAGGGTGCGGAAGGCCCAAAAGTTTTAGATATGTCAGGTTCTGTGTTTTTAAGGTCTGGGGCTTGGAGGAATTTGAGTTCAGGATTGAGACTTGGTGGGTTTGGTGTGTTCAGGTCGTCCCCACAACCGACACCTGATGGAACCAAGGCGCAAGTGCCAGCGCAAAATGGCCTGGTCGCCTGGTTCAAGAGTGAGAATGCTGCCAAGAATTGGCCCAACGAAGTAAAGGGCGGTGAAGCGGCACAGGCACCTGATGCGACTGTGAAGACGGAGAGCGGACACGGCGCCAAGGGCAAGGTCAAGTTCATCTCCGGCAACACAGGCGTCAAGGTTGACTTCGGCCCGATCCTGAAGAATGACTACACCATCTGCTCGGTTGCCCGCTATACCGGAGGCAGCAAAGGTCGCATTCTCGACTGCAACAACAAGAATTGGCTGCACGGGCATTGGGCCAGCCAAGTGGGAGTCGCACACTACCAGACCTGGAACACCAACAGCCGTCGCAATGGTGGGAACAAAGACTGGCTGGTGATTTGCGGAAGCGACGGCAAGCAGGTCTACTTGGGCAGCAATCCGGACAAGAACATTGCCACTAAGACTGGCAGAGCATTCGGTGGAGGAGAGCATAGGCTTGTCACCAACCGAAGGGAGAAGTCGGACTTTGCCATCATGGAGGTCATGGTTTGGAAGCGGAAGCTCGCCCACAAAGAAATGAAGGACGCGATGAACTATTTGAATGCCAAGCTGGAGAATGGTATTGCCAGAGACCCAGATCAGTTTTTGTAGCTTGGAGCCCAGTGGTCGTGGCAGTCTAGGACCAATAAGATTTTGGTGTTGAAAGCCCAAAAGCCCCAATCTCTAGAACAACCCTAAGCCTTATTGTAAAGTCCCAAGTCCCTAAGCCGCCCTCTGGAAGGTTGGAGGGGCCTGCAGGTTTGGGGTCTGGCGGGTTTGGGGTGTAGGGTCTAGGATCTAGGAGGGGGAGGAGGAGGAAGCGGAATACTCACAAGAACAAGCCCGTATGCAGGAGCCCAAAAACAGGGAGTGCACGCACATGTACATTTGCATTCATATGACATATCACGGAGACAATTCATGACAATCTGATTCTATGCAAGGCGCAGGCAGACCTCTCACGCAAAGTCAATCGTTTCTCTTTCACAACATTCTTCCCTTGCAGGCCTCAAACTCAGACTGATATGATCCTTGCAAGGATGTCCAGAAAGTGACCCAAACCTTTGATACTTGACAGATGAAGCGGTGAAGTGAGAGTTTCAGACGCGAAGTTGGTAGATGGGCGCGCTCTATGAGCTTTTCATGTATGATAGTTTCCATGTTATTTTCCATTACCCCTATATAAGCGGTTCTATAACCCCTTTATAGTATAATAGTTTCCATCATATTCTCCATTATCCCTATACATGATAGGATGAGCCGAGCGTTTGCTTGGTGGGCCTGAGTTCAGGGATAGCCACGTGATGTCTGGCGACAAGAGTAATTAGCGTTGGCAAGTGGTGCAATGGTGGCATAAAGATGTCGTTGCCCCTTACTTGCGGAACGGTGCATGGCAATCTTTGTGAAAGTACTTGCTCGCTGGTTCATGGATGCAGGGTTTTCGCTGTACTGGACTTCGGGTTGTTATAGCTTGGTGCATCTTACTTAGAACCCTAATATTACCCCTACGTATTACTGTAGTTTCCATTTTATTGTCCATTATCCCGATATAACCCCCATAAAATACAGTACTTTCCATTTTATTGTCCATTACCCCTATTTGTCCATGCACCTCCAAGTGGTCCCCTTGCGAGTCGAGAACCTGCGAAGGCATAATCCAGATTGCTGGATCTTCGTGGAAAGTGTTTCCCTGAGCCTCCAAGGGCTGGAATACTTTGAGAGGGAAGGGGGTAAGCTCCCTATGAGCCTATCCTGAAGATTAAAATCCCTGCCCCTGACACTGCACAAGCGCCCTGACATCAGTCCATATAGGTACCTGGATTTAGATAGGTTAAGGGGAAGGGAATGAGGCCTTGATGAGGAGCTTCACTTTAATTCCCTCTTAGTTGCTTCATAATTTGGATGCGGCAAGTGAGTTTCACCCAAATGACACGCGCATGGGCGCTGAGAAGAATGATGCACCGAAGTTGGGCTGATGTATAGCTCCCTCCGCTTATCCCAATATGGTACCACTGCACATACGGGGAATTCTTTATTTGGTTTGGATGGGGACCCCACTAGCTTGAGAATCTTGCATGCAAAGATGGTATGCCCAAGAAAGTTTCTAATGGTGGCCAAGCTCATGCGGGCGGCGGGGGGCTTTGTAAAACTGATGGCCTTGTTTTAGGGTCTGAAGAAAGATGCTACTATTCCAAAATCTACACCTAGTATAAACCCCAATATAACTCCTGATTACAGGATTTTGAGGTACAAAGGCAGACCTATGTTCTGGACACACCCGGATTTGGAAATGTTACATGTTTGGTTTCGAAAATCATTATGTTGCGGCTGCTAGTATGTAGAGGTACCCAAAAATGGGCCATAGCTTTGACAACCCCGCACATGCTTCGGGAAGATGTTAGCTGCTCCTGATCGAGATTCCATGGACCATTGGAATGAACAGCTCGATGTCCATGGGGCACCATCTTCAATGAGTTGAAAGAATTCGTGAGAAGGTTATATAAGGGTTACACTGGGATAATGGAAAAGAAAATCGAAACTACTATAGTATATTGGACTTATATTGGGATACTGGAAAATAAAGTGGAAACTACCATAGTATATTGGGAGGTTTTTCCTTGTGGACCCCAAACAGGAAGCCGAAACGACTGATGCAGAAGCTCATGGCTCCGGAACATGCTGTGACTAAATACAAAGAATTTTCATAATACTGATACTAATAATGATACTAATACTAGGAATAATAATCACAATGACAATGGCAATAATACGAATATAACGAAACAACAACATTTTGCAACTCTTCAAAATCCTTCATTCTTGAAATTTGTTTGTCGAGGTTGCGGAGTTTAACGACAGAATCACTCGACGGAAGTGCGCCAATATAGCGTAAAGTTTGGGCCTCCTCTTGTATGGTATATGCAGAAAGCTTCTCAGAAGGCAGACCTTAAAAAGATCATTGCTTGGGATGGGAATGCGGAGGTATCCATGTCTTCATATTGCTGCTGAGAGCGCTTATAGCCCCCCAAAGCCGGGGCCTCACATCCTAAACCCCAAGCCTCAGATGCTAGAGCTGAATCCTCAAATACCCTGAGGCCATACCTTCATTGGCATTGTATAGCTTGTTTACCTTGCCTGCAAGTGCATGCAACCATTCTGCATGACTTTGACGCTGACTACTTTGGCTCTCGCTCTCCGCCACAGCATCCACTGCTTCTGATCTTGGGGCTTCGGGCTTTGGGTTACGGATTTAGGGTTTCCTGAAGAAAATAGTGCTATCTTACGAGCTTGTGTGATGATTGCAGCTCTTGCCTAGCTCAAACCCGTAGAGCCTACAACTGTCATCTGAACCATAGTCTAAACTCCTGGAAGGGTGGTTACACAGGGCATTATATAGGGGAGTATTATAGGGCTTATGAAGGGGGATACTAGGAGGTAAGACTGTAGATCATATCCGGCAAAAGAACTCTTGCTCCCAAGATGATGATATTCACCAATCAGGCTGTACCCACATTACTGCTATCCCCAGTTGCGTGCGTACCTCCAGCTCTCAGTGTTTCGGGGAAAAGGTTGCGGGCTTAAGGTAATCAGACGCTGCCCATGGGTTTGAAAGCCATGTCATTGATGGCCAGGCGCCTGTCTAAATCATGCCGAAAGCTATTGGTGGGGGGGAACACGTCCTCCCCTAATCTCGCTTGCGATTGGGATTTCATGAGGGAATGGTGGAAACTATTGTTGGGTATCATGTAGGGGCTAAACCGTAAACCCCAAATCGCAAACCTCAAACACTAAACCCCAAACCCTAAACCCCACACTATAGCTACTACGGGGATCCATGGCTCCCGTCCTTACAAGCCATGAGTAAGCACGCGAATATGGAACTTCAGAAGCAGCAACACACAGACTGGTAAACGTGGAGGTTGAGGATTTACGGTTCAGGGTTTAGGGTTTAGTGTTTAAGGTTTAGGGTCGCGTTTGGGTTTAGAATTTAGTGCAGGGTGTAGGGTTTATGGTTTGGGGTGTAGGGTTTAAGGTTTAGGGTGTGAGGTCTTGGAAATAACAACGCCCTAGATATGTTGATCTGCAGCCGACTAAAGGTTCCCCAGGTACATTTTGGTAGGTACGACATGTGGATGCTGCTCGAGCATGATTCTATCGAAGCCTCAATGGGGATCACGATAACCGACGTACAATCCCGATATATCCCTCGGTCCCCAGGGCCTCTATTTTGGAGAAACACCCTCAGAATAGATTCTCTGCATTGCTCAGGGCAGCAGCTAAAGCAACACAAATGTCATGCATATAAATATAAACAGATGCAGCCAAAGCATCTTGTGATGTTCTGGCATGGAGCCTGCGCACAGCACATATGCACGCCCTCCTTGGCAGGCGAAGGGGAACATCGAAGCACCTCTTTCTCTTCGCAAGGCCACTGGTGCTTTCTCCAAATTGAGATTTGACAGTCATCCTGACAGTCATCCGGTGTTTGAGATTCTGCTGTTTTGCATCTGTGGCTTAACAAACTTCATTCAGAGATCTGCTGGTGGTAATTGGACAGCTTGAAACCACTGAACACTAAGTGCCACACCCAAAGGCAACAAATACGATAATTGCTTGCTGGCCACCCTCCTTAAGTCCCCTAAAGCAGGTTATACTTTTGGCTACCCAAATGATTGGAATGTTGGTCATGAACAGGACAACGCTGAGAAAGCAGCAAGGACAAGAGCATACAACAGAAAAAGCAAGAGCTATCAGGGAATATTCTACAAGGGTTGGCACATAGCCTTCCACAATATTCAGGCCGGAAACCCTAAACGCTCAAAACTCACCAGGTGCTTGCCCCACGCTCTTCCTGCGTCCTCACGCATATCGTTGCTCAAGGGAAAGGGTAGTGTAGGTGCGTTGGGATTGTATACCCCATTCCCCCTCGAGCAAGGTACATCATAAGATGAAATGTGCCTGACGACCTTTGCAATGACATGGCTCTCCTGACAAAACCATTCTCCTTGCTTTGTTTGCAGCATGGCCTAGTGCCAAGGGGCACTAGGTTTGCAGATCCTTGAAACTCTCAGGGTTGTTATCGCCAGAAGTGGATGCTGATTTCTCGCGTCATCTGGCTTCAGCAATCACGTGGGGTCATGACATGGCAGCACGTTCGACCCAGAGCAACATCACTGGCTACAACATTAGCTGCAGTGCACCGGGTTCACGATGCGGACCTTTAGGATTTCCAAAGCAATAGTGTCGCACGAAAATACATTTTCGTGAAATGGCCGGTGCCATTGGGTTTTGCCAGCATTGCATGCTCTTTGAGGCAAAAGCTATAGCAGGAATGTTCACCAGTGAGTACTAAAGGTGGATATCCTCGCAAGTTATGCGACCCACCATGGGAGCATCAAGGCAGACATCTGGAACAGGTGTCTACTTCCATGTTCCGAGCTTTATATTCAGACCCTCGCTGCAGTCAGGGTGGATTCGCCCATGTCTAGCCCATGCAGCGGTCAGCTTTCTCTCTTCTTGACTCTGGCGGCGCTGGCAGTGAACGTTGGCGTTCTTGCCGGCAAGGAACGGGCGGATAGAGGAGGGGACGTCTGGGAGCAGCTTCAAAGTAGAACCCCCATATGGGGGTTTCCCAAAATTGGGGGTACCATTTTGGGGGTCCCTATAATAAGGACGATAATATTTTAGGATCTATCTTTGGGTCCCTTAAATTTGGGAAACTACCATATTGGGTAGCTCGTAGGAACCCTTAGGGGGAAGCTAGCGAGGTGAAAATCAAACCGGTATGTTTGATGGGTAGCACCGCATACTGCAAGATCAGGCTGAGGATTTAGAGCTTAGGGTGGTTCCCTGTTTCAGGCATGTGTTTCTATCAAACAGGCAGAGTTTGCTTCGCACGATTCAGCAGATGTCTTGGTATGGTGGGAACTCCGGCCCTCACACCCTAGGCCTTACTCCCCAAATCCTAAATGCCAGCTAAATCTTACACGCAAACCCATACCCCGGCCCCCAAGCCCTAAACCGCCCGGACCCCAAACCCGATGCCTCAAGCCCTAACCCTAGCCCAGCAGGTTCTGCCCCATCCATTCGCGAAGAGAATCAGGCGTGGGTTGCTCAAAAAGCATGGGTCCCGTTCTGGGGTTTGGGGTTTAGGGAGATCTGGGCATGTAGGGGCTCACGTATTCTCCTTAGAATTTAAATGTCCGCAGGGTTCCCGTGGCGCCCCCTATTTCTGCAAATGTCAGCCGTCGTAGATAGGGGCATGTCTGGGACAAGTTTTAAGGCTGGTATTAATTGGGCTTTGGCTTTGAGATTTGGGTTTCTTTAGAAGAGGTTTGCTTGCAGGGTCTATATTGCAAAGTTTCTACTAAGTAGGTATTTCTAGGAGGTCCCTGTTTTGAGAACTGCCCAGATCATGATGGACCCAGCCGAGATTGACCTGTTGCAAGCCTTTCTACATCCTAAGGCGGTGATGTTTGAATTTGGCTCGGGCGCGATCCGCCCAAAACATTAATGTTCTCCTTGCGGCCAGATTTTCTTGGCAATGCCACGAGTTTTGTTGTGTTTAGTGTCTATCTCATCTTTCGATCTTGTTGATTGAAGTGATTTTCCTCATGTGCCTGGCGTTGCAGGACCCGTATATTGCTCTTGTAGCC